TAGTGAATATCAAATTCGAAAATTCCATAGAAAAAAAGCATGGTTGCATTAGCTGTTTCTTCTTCGGGTACTACTCCGATGACTTCGTTTCACCGGCATTTAAGATTCCGATCATATCCACGAAACCTTCCGACTCACTTAGGGGTTTCTCCTTCTTCTTCTCCTGTAGCTTCATCTGAGTTTGATTTTAGTACCCTCGAATCTGCCATTAACAAGGTCTTTCTGTAATTACCACAAGCCTTTTTTTTTTTMTTTTTCGATGAAATCTGCTTAAAGCGTAATTCTGAGGAATTGGGTTTATGTATTATTGACGCAGAAAGATAGTAATGGTGTTAAAGAAGCTCTTGATCGATTGAGTGAAGAAGGTTGGGCTAAGAAATGGAGCTCCCAACCTTACCTTTCGCGCCGTACGGTGTATATCGATCTCTATATCTAAATCTTACACTTAAATTTGATTTGTGTTTGTTCTCATGTGTCTTTTTTTTTCTTGTGTGTGTATTAGACATCACTTCGGGAGCTGACAACTCTCGGAATCAAGAATGCTGAGACTCTCGCAATCCCTAGTGTCAGGAACGATGTGAGTTCTGTTTGATGTCTTTGTAAGGTTTTTGGATTTGAAGACAGATTTCTTTTGAGGTTGCAGTGTATGGTAATAGAGGTTGTTTTGATTGAGTTTGAGTAATGCAGGCGGCCTTTTTATTCACAGTAGTCGGAACAACCGGATTCTTAGCTGTTATTGCTGGACAGCTTCCAGGGGTAAACTTTCAAAACCTCATTTCTTTCTCATGTTACAAGACATGGAAAAATCTTTCGTCTGGATAATTGTGTTGATTATATGCCTAGAACTATCTCATCACATGTCGAAAACCATGAACATACTTTGGTTTCTATTGCTTGAGTTAGGTTCTTTGTGCCAAATGAATTAACTTCTAAATCTGGACAGGATTGGGGATTCTTTGTGCCTTACTTAGTTGGGAGCATTTCATTGGTAGTTTTAGCCGTCGGAAGCGTTTCGCCGGGGTAAGAAAAGAACGAAAACCCTGTATGTTTTGTTCGGTTTCATCAACTCTTATGTACTCTGGGTTATAGATCGATATATTTTGCTCTTTTGTTCGTAGGCTACTTCAAGCTGCGATTTCGGGGTTTTCGACTTTCTTCCCTGACTATCAAGAACGTATTGCTCGACATGAAGCAGCTCACTTCTTAGGTACCCTTTAAAAGTTTAAACCTTTTGGTTTCTGAAGAGGGAATGTTCTGATTGTGTTTAAAACCTGCAACTTCCAGTGGCTTACTTAATCGGACTTCCAATCCTCGGGTACTCGTTAGACATTGGTAAAGAACACGTCAATCTCATCGATGAGAGACTTGCGAAACTAATATACAGTGGCCAGCTTGACTCAAAGGAGCTCGATAGGTGAAGTTTCTTTAATGTCATAAAAGAGAGAAGAATTGAAGCTCAACCCATTGAATCTTCTTCGGTTTCTCAGGTTGGCTGCTGTTGCAATGGCTGGACTTGCTGCCGAGGGTCTCAAGTATGACAAAGTGATCGGCCAATCTGCGGATCTCTTCTCCCTTCAGGTTCTCTAGTTCTTCTTACTTCACTCATTTCAACACTCACAAGTTCACAACCATTTAGTGATTACAGCATTTGGTTTTTGTTTCCTGCAGAGATTCATAAACAGAAGCCAACCCAAAATCAGCAACGACCAGCAGCAAAATCTAACAAGATGGGCTGTATGTTTCTCTTACAAAACCATACTTATCATCTCTCTCTCATACATGTATCTGTCTAAAGTAGTCATGAATCTTTTGTTTTGTCATGCAGGTTCTCTACTCTGCTTCTCTTCTAAAGAACAACAAGACCATCCACGAAGCTCTAATGTCTGCAATGTCCAACAATGCATCTGTTCTCGAATGCATTAAAACCATTGAGACAGCTTCCTAGACTTCAAATTCCATGAACAATCTCTATTGTCTCTTTTGATCGATCCAATTCCCAGAACACTAAATTGATCACAGACAATTCCATAACTTGTTTATATATAGACGTAAAAGTTACAGACATTATACATCTTCAAGCCCCATGTCGAAGATCAAAACTATAGTACTACTGTAGACGATGATTATACATTCGAAACTATAGTATTACTGTAGACAATTCAATTACATTTAAATTTCGTCGGACCAATCACTAGGTTCAGTGTCGTAGAACAAGCCATCAACGATCTGATCAACCAACGAGTCAATGAACGAGTTGCAACTCACTGTGAAGATCCGTCCAACTCGGTTACGAGAAATCGTTAACCAAGCGAATATAGCTGCGAACCCCATAGCTCCAAGACCAGCTCCAATGGCTTCACTCAATCCTTCCACGTCAAGTTTCTTGAACAATGAGTTCCCCGTAACAACCTCCTCCGCTACAGTCGCCGCGAAAACAATCTGTAAAATCACGAAAATCGCATCAGCGTCGGAAATCGAGATTCGAATTTGTAGGGTTTTGTTGATTCTACCATAGCGAGTCGACCAGAGATGGTTTCAAAATCCTGACTCTTCTTCGAACTCTCTATGTAATCAGTAAGCGTTTCGAAAAACGGCGAAGCTATCTCCGTCTCAGATCCTCCTCCTCCGCCATATCCGCCATCTTTTCTAGCTACAACCATCTCAGATCCGTAAGATCTCAACGTGCAAAGCCTCGGCTGAAGCAGGATCTTCCCGTTCTCGGCTAAATCGCTGCCTCTCGGTCGCTGCTGGATCTGGATCTGCTTAATCGGTTCCGATGAATCGCATCTGGTAATCAACGACGGTAACTGACATCGAATCGCACGAGTCGCCATAGCCATTTTCCGATGATGATGATGCTCCGAGGAATCTTTTGTGGGAAAAGTAAGAATGAGTGGGAAAGGAAAACAAAAGGAATCTACATGACATGGTGGGTAAAGAGTACACGTCGTGTCGTTTTTTGTGAGGTGGCAAAGATATTGTTCGACGTGGCTTCCTTTTGGCTCAGTAACATGCTTTTCAGTCCAAAGGGAAATTCGTATAAAATACTACGTGTCGTTTTGCTTTTATCCACTTGAAGCTAAATTCATATTTCATTCGTTTTGTTTGTTTGTTACCATTTCAGGACAAAAAGATCAAATAATAACAGATATTATTGACACGAAGTTTACTCAATTTTATTGATAAAACACTTGCAAAAAAAAGAACCTGTAAGAAAATACAAATCAATTATGAAATTAGATATATTCATTCATTTATCGAGCCCATTTCTTAGGGTAACCTCTTGGTAGTCCGAACAAAACGGGAAACAAATGTAATTGGAGAATTCTCTATTTGTTTGAATGATTTTCAATTTCTCTGTGTTTGTGTTGTAGAAACAAAATCGATCCGAGCTAGAAAGTGTTACGACGTCGTTGCTTGGAGTCCACAAAACGTTATCTCTTAACCCAATCTTTTTAATATCTTTCACTTTTACCCACGACTTTACAAAACTGCTCTTTAAAACCCATAACCGGTTTAATGCCTCTCCATAACCCGACCACCGAATAACGCCTAGCTTCCCTTCGTATTTGACCAATTTTGGAGAAACACCAAAGTTAGGAGTTTGGAAGAAAGACCAAGTTTCGGTTTTGAGACAGAACCGGATCACATTGTGATTCCATGATAACCAATGCAAGAAACCAGAAGCTTGTACCGGGTTTGAAAGAATGAGACCGTCTTCTTTTGGTAGACGCAAGTTTTTCAATCTCTTCCATATAAATGAATCCGAATCAAAAACTTCGCACGCGAATGTTCTATGATTCCGATTCATCCCCGCGGATAACCTAGAGAGCCTAAGTATTTTATACCGGAAAGGGTCCAATCCGATTACCACTAAACCGAATGAGATACCGCAATTCTGCATTATCGGGTTTGGTATAATCTGATAGTGTTTTGTTGTTGGTTTGCAGACTATGCAATCCGGTACACCTGGTCCTGTTTCATTAACACAAAGCAAAATCCCATGACTTGCGTCACAAGCTTCGATCTTTGCTTTTCCATGTGGTAGAAAATCAATAGAGATTCCTTTCTTTTCGAAATCTCCCACCTCATGGACAAAGCTGGTTTGAAGTTTGTATCCTCCTTCATTGTATTGCACCAAGTATCCAGAAATAGAATTGGTTCTATGGAGATTGAGGTTGAGAAACCAAGACTCGTAGCTTCTCTTATTAAACTCTTTGTTTATGAGCCTCGATTTTCCGGTCTCCGATACCAGAAAATAAGAGAGAATCTCTAGGATCATGTCTTGATTTATCGCCGGAGAACTCATGATTCTGAAGTATAGATCACTGACTAGGGAAAAATAAAAATCAGTATTGGTAAAAAATTGCAATGTACGAATTAGTAATTTATATTGTATGTATCCTTAATTATGTAGCTCTTTATAAAACAAACAAAATAACAAAAGATCAATATTTCATTATTGATTAATATTGGCTCAATTC